CAGCGGTCCCCAACCTTTTTATCGCCGCGGACCGGTCAACGTTTGATATTTTACCGCGGCCCACTGAGGGGGGACGTTGATTGTTTATATTTTAGATTGATTTAATTTAATAATTTTAATTTAATTGTATTTAAACATGCCTTCAAAATAAAATATAGTTACACAAAAAAATAAACGTTAAATCAATGAGAACCCTGAGCTTGTTTCTTTGCAACAAGACGGTTCCATCTGGGGGTAATAGGAGACAATGACACCCGAAGTGTGTTTCTTATGTCCAGTTTATTCCGTTGTTCCGTCGTCCATTAAAAGTCGCACAAACCCGAGAGAAATATACCATAGTAAATAAAATGGAAATACCAGTAATTTAATGTTCCTTGGGCGGCCCGGTACCATTTGATCCACGGACCGGTACCGGTCCGCGGCCCGGGGGTTGGGGACCACTGATATAGATGACCTGGCTGTTTTGTTATCAGGAAAAGTATGATGTACAGGGGCAAGACATTACCGATTTGATTGAGATCGAGAGTGTACATTTTAAATAGATGTTCGTAATACGCTAATTCGCATAAATTATAATAGTAAAATATAATTTTAAATATTTAATGAATGTTACGCAAGATTTAATCAAACTTTTCTTAAACATAAACTTTCACATTAGGATACTGAAACTTTGCTAAAATATTAAATAATGTCTATGTGATAAACATAAAATAATTATATCATGTAATTATCCTATTCTATCCTTCTTGTTCTACATAATCTGCTTGAGTCAATAAAATATGTTAGAATTCTGAAAAGTGATAAAAGTTTTAAACAATCTCTCATATTTCCTACAAAATGGATCAAGAGTTTAGGAAGAAGACATTCTCATTCTTCTAGGAGAGTAATTTTCGGTTCACAAGTTGTTGTTGGAGGGGAATTGAAGATTTCGGAATTGGAGTCTTAAATCACTTTAATTTAGATCAACTGGATTAAGATCTGGAGAGCCTAACTGGCTCAGTCTATTCTTTGTATATGCTTACTTTTAACATATTTATCCACATGCATTAAAGAAATTCATAAATGATGATCATGAAAACAAAATTTGGACCAGCTCAACTTTGAAAAACTTGCATGTACAGTAGTTCTAGTCCTCATTTTGATATCTGTGCTCTGTCAAAGTTCAGTATCGACGACGTGTAGTGGATACGATCATTCATTATGCGTATTCAAAACTATCTTTTACCATTATATTGGAAATGATTTCGAGTCCAGATGTAATGGCACCAAGAATCATTTGTTACTGAAAAGTTATAACTTATCTGTGAAAAGTATACTTTTCACTGTCCAAGTGTCCCAATTATAATCTTGGCTATTTGACAATAAATCTAGTGTATTTCTGGTATGATTAAATGGAATGCAGACTACAGATTTCTTTGCGTGCAACCCTTTATTGAGAAGTTTTCTATCTATAGTTCATTTTGATACTTATTTTCTTGTACTGAGATAAGCTACAAGAAGAGTTGTTAAGTTATCCTGCATTTAAGGGTTTTGCAGTCTACAGATTTTAGGAGTATAAAGTACAATTCATCGTAACTGCTGTGTAATGTGGTCGACCTTCGGGTTTCCATCGAGTGCATGTTCTTATATCTTCAAACTGTCGCTACAATTTTTTGGATGTATTTATATATTATGCAGCAATTGTTTGATTTTCATCAACTTTCATTCTATCGATAGCAACTATTTATCACTGAATGTCATTCAAATGGCGTTGTGATGGTATTTCCAAGAAAAGTATTTAATTACAATTGCTGTCACGCTAAATCATAAATCACAAAAAGAAGATTTTCAAAAGTTAATTCTAAAATTCTCACTAATTTGCATAAATGGTGCTCATTCGAAACTTTATCATAAGCTTTTAGTAGTTAACAAATCACTACATATACCTATGTAATTTTTGATCGAAAAAAATAGCTTTAATTTTTAAAACTACTAAAACTTGAAATTTCTTGATTTATGTATACCTGTTTAATACTCAAATTAATGTTTTCAGTTAAATTGTATGAGGAAAATCAAAGGAAGATTATGTAGTACGTTATTATCGCATCATTAGAAAGAATCTCGATTGAAATCTAATTTGCGACAAATCCTTTGTCATACACGTTTGGATATTACTTATTCCAAGCCACCAACTTCATTAAAAACAAATTAACATTTTTTAATATAGTCAATTCTTGATTTTTGTATGTTAAAGTTGCATTTTATAAAGGGAGTTTCATTCTCAGAGTTAATAAGATATTTTATAAGTTGTTTTTTTAAGGTAGAAAAGTTTTAACATTTTCAGTAAATATGTTACAGTGCATAAAATATTGACAGAAACATAAATTAAATAGAAAGCAAATAAACATTAACTTTTAGAAATGATTTTGCTGTTAGCTAAACCGAAACTGGTAAAACGCGCCATCGAATAATAAATTTAAATTTATGCTTGCCAACTGGAAATGATCGAAATGTTAAATTTGGCGTATTTGGAAAATTGATTTAGAGGTATAAAAATGTCATTTGCAAAATGTGAGAATTGTGAAAAATTTGAAAACTGCCTTTATATAATAATAAATATAATAAAAATATTTAAACTTATTTTTGTAAAATATTTAGAAGTTTAATTTAAAGAACTAAACCTTTTACTTAATAGCAAGAAATTTAAAAATACTACCAGCAATGCTTGTTAAATTGACAATTCTTCCTTTAGATTTTCGAAGAAGCGGCAAAAATTCTTGCGTCACTCGAACCATTCCAAATACATTGACGTTGAAAAGTTTTAAAATTGTTTCCATCGGTGTCCATTCAATTTCACCTCCATGTCCTAGTCCAGCATTATTGACAACTGCCCATAAAATGACTATAAACAATGAAAAGATATTATTTTAAATAAATATGTTACCAAATATTTAATATACTTAGTTATCAAGAATATGAAGATAACGGTCAAATAAACTTTTGAATTACCGTCTTCTCCAAGACTACATTCTACCGTTTTGGCTGCTTCTTTTACACTTTGTTCGTTTGTGACGTCGAGTGGAACGATTTCAATCTTTGAAGAAAATGCTTTTAATTTATTGGCTCCGTCACTTTCTGGAAAGAGACAACCCGCAAACACACGATAGTTCCTTTCTGCCATACGTTGAGCGAAAAGATGTCCAAATCCAGTATCGCATCCTAATAAAAATTTTATATAATTTATCTTGCAATACACTTAATTTTATATTGGATACATAAAAATATAGTATATAAAATATGTAAACAGATGAAAATTTGCAGTAAAAATTTTGTTTTATGGGAAATTGATATATTTTAACAACTTGAAAACATAATAAATTTTTAACACCAAAATCTTCATTTAGGAAAATATCAGCCATGAAAAAATTTGCCAAATTTAGTAGTAAAATCTTCAGTATTTATATACCAATTATAATAAATTTACTATAATTAATTCATTAATAATAATGACAAATTTTTAAATCTTGCATTAATTCCATATTATGATTATGCTGTATTATTTTTATTGTGTAAACTAGGTCTTAGTAACTTTTAGTGAGGGTCAATCTGTAATGTATTACTGGGCCAGAATTGAATGCAAATATTAAAAGATAAAACGTAATATTATGTATATTTCAGATTAGGTTGACTTCCAAATAAAACTGTCTTGTAAGAATATATTGTCTATAACACAATGTGGCTGCAAAGAATAAATATAGTAGATTTTAATATGTTACTTATTCGCTATCAAAATAATTATTAAACAACAGTAGAATAAAAAAATACAAATTGTAATGTATTTCATTAAATAAATAAGAATATAATAAAATGTTTATAATGTACAGTACATGCATATAATTTATGTGAACAAACGAACATTTACTTTCCTGGCTGTTATGTATATATGATAAGGGAAAGGGCATATTGGATCGTGTCAAATATGACCTTCCGTGTTTTTTGCAAATCTTCATTTTCTGAGACCCCTGAACCGAAAAAAATAAAAAAAATAAAAAACAAAAAATTTCGCGGATATGTTGTATGTTGGCGTCTATTTCCTCTAATATTTCAGGATGGGGACAAGATTAAGAATCGAAATTTGGAACTGTATCTTGTGTATAAGGGGCATTAATGCTATTAAATTTTGATGGTTAAAGGTCGACGGGATGGGGAGATAGAGAAACATCGGACTTAATGAAGAATTTACTCATTATTAGCATTTACAATTTTTCTTTTTTTATAAAACTCATCCTACCCTCATAATTAAGTTTTTTGCCATATTATAATAATTCATAATATAAAAACTTTTTATAACAAAATCTCATAACAGATGACGCCACACACAATTTTATTTATTGTAATAAATAATATAAAAGTTATTTTTTTGAATAAAATATCATAACAGCCGGAAAAGTTCCGCAAGAAGCATGAAGAAGGAAAATACAGCATAACAAAAGTCTACTGAAATAACTGTAACTATGGACAAGTTATTAAAGTCATAAGTACCTGTACGTATCAAACATAAACGATCAAAATCGTATCTCATAGTGAATAGCATACATAATTAAGTTTTATAATTGTAAAAATTACATACTGTAATTATATACAGTAGAGCGTCGTTTATCCGAATCAATTGAGGACTGGGGTGGTTCGGATAACTTATTTTTCGGATAACGAATCATGTACGAAAAACTATATTAATTTATCCCATGTTGAAATTTCTCTCCGTTGCGTGTCGCTTCGCGTTGAATTTTCGTCGATGTTAAGCCTAACGAAGACTATTGTATCGTTAAAAATTATTTTTTTATTTTGTACAAACAAAATAAATTTATTGGAAAATATAAAAACAATAAAAAATGATACTTCAGATATTAATTTAGTATCAAAAACGTAAAATATTTGAGTAGCCCGAGAAATAACCGAAGATTGCAGCGCCACAGCACTAGCGAAAATTTAAATTTGCCGACTTTTGTCCGTTATCCGAAATTTGCTTTCGGATAACCAGCTTTCGGATAAACGACGCTCTACTGTATTAGTAACAAAAAATTTTATAGTGATGGCTAGCAAAATCTCAAACAAAGGGAAGAAACCAAAACCGAAAAGAAAATTTATTTTTTTAGAAGAAAAAATCACCATCTTGAATCGCCTGAAAAATGGAGAAAAATTAGATGTGGCAAAGACCTAAAATTTAAACGAATCAACAATTCGTACGATCAAACAAAATGAGCAAAAAATGTTTTGAAAGATAGTTTTCACTATCTTTTGAAGAATAAAGAATTGAATTCGATTCAATTCAATACAATACCGTCGCGCTAAACCGAACTAAGTGAGACAAGTGGTAGTTCGGATTAATGAAGAATTCAGATTAAGGGGATATGATAGTAAGGACGTGATGCTTACGCTTTAAAGAAATTTTTTTTTTTTTTTACCTGTTGTCAATTATCAAATATTTTCAAGCAGCAAATAGAAGAGCAAAAAGAGATTAGAATTGTTGGTGAGTCAAACAGGGTCATTGACTGATTGCTGCTCATTCTTTCTTTCTATGTAATTGTTTATTACATGTGACTTATGTTTACACGTAAGCTGCACGTATGCAAGTGACAACTCCATAATTGTAGTTAGGGAAATGATAGCTGTTCTGATTAAATGGCTTCGGATGACCAAGCATTCGGATTAACGCGATCAAACTGTAAGTTTGATTTTGTTTTTTAATTCATGTTTTGTTAAGTGAAGTTTTATGAATTAAACAAAACTGTTTTTTCTTGCATAATAAATAAAATTCATATTTAAAAAACTCGTTTTTGAATCCACTTTTTTATATGTAATGTGAATGTCACGAACGCTATTTTTATAACGCGTTATTTTTATGGAACCGTGTTATACGAGATTCCACAAAAATTGAACCTTGTACTTGTACTTACGGTTTTGGAATAATGCGACTCCACATTTGTCAGGACCCTAGTTCAGTCTCACTTATCTCAATTCCTGATAGACTTAAATGTGATAATTTTAAAAATAACTCCCATATAACATACTGTATATAAAACTATTACCTTTGTACTCGATAAAAGTTATAAATTACAATTTTATGTTTCTCTTATTCTTAGCCGAATTTATACCTTTTTCTATTAGAATTACAAAAAATATCATATAAAATATTAGTAACATTAAAATATATCATGTTTCCTTTTTTAAAACGTAGAAATTAATAATTTAAAAAACTTTGTAATATTAGTGCTTTATTACTAGTTCAATACTATCAAAACTAATAAACTCATTATTTTTACTTTAAATTTACAATCGAATAAAGTCTTAGTAAAGAATAAATCATTTGAAATAATATGATCAAAAAGTCACCATATACTTTGGTATATAATGATTTTTTAATTATCTTATGTAAACTCACCTGTAACAAATACAGCTTTGTTTTTGGGTGATAAAGGCTGCTGGTACGATTTGTATATTAGATATCCAAAATATAAAACCACCGACAGAACAAATAGATAAAAGTATTCTGGTATCAAAAACATCCTTTAATCTAAAGTAAAAAACAAGATCACAGGTAAACTTAATTTTGATATTATTTTAAATATTTTTTAAAATCATTTAACCTAAAGCATATACTTGCAAGTAAAAAATAACAAACAAGTATTCTAACTTATATAAACATATCCGTTTTTATCGCAACCTCGATAGAGATACTATTGACCTTAGTAGAGTGACGTTATTCAATAAACTCAAAAGTCATTCTGACAGTTACAATTACAAAAACAGTATTTAGACCGAAAAAATTTGCAGAAAGAAATAACACGAATAATTCTCTATATTCTTCACCAACTTGTTAAATGATGCAAAAATTTATTCCGCAAGAAGCATGAAGAAGGAAAATACAGCAGGTCTTTATTTCCTTTATTTTGCGTTGATATGTCAATCTTATCGTCTGCATGAGTTAGTCCAGTTAGATAAATATTTAAATTCTTAAAAACTTTAAATTAGTTTTAATAAAAATTAATATATATTCAGTATATACTTTAATTATATTTTTTTACTTCCAGGATGTTTTTCTATCCGTTCATAGTCGAAATTGGAAGACGGCTGAAGACTGTCTGTTCCGCTTATGTCGGGCCTCGTCTCTCACTATCCGTCCATTCCATTGTAGGTTGGCAGAACCCAAGATAGGCTTGCTTAAAAAAACACAACCTCAGTACCAGGGCCGGTCTTTTCTATAAAAGCGCCCGGTTGCAAGAAACCTTTTGGCGCCCTAAAATATTTGGAATACAGGATTTCAAGGGATTTGAAATACACGTATATTGGGTAATATACATTTATTTAAATATGCGATGTCTTTTGCTATGTCATTGAGCAATTCAGAAAAGTTACAATTTTTGCAATTTCCTTTTCGTTGTTTAATATAGCGGGTGCATTTAAGCGTTCTTCACACACACTTGACCGAAAAGAATTCTTTGTTAATTTTAATTTGCTAAAAGAACTCTCTGCACTTGCTACAGTAACTGATAACGTGAAGAATACAGTTAGCACATCTGAAAATAGTTCATTATAATTATTATTTAATATGTATTGCAATATGTCTTGCGCGTTATATAGGCCTATATCTTTTTGGTCCAAGATCAACTCTCGCAACAAATCGATTTCCTAGATTAGGTCTTTATTTACAAACTTTACCATAAAGTTTTACAAAATCTTTTAAACGGTTTTCTAGTTCATTTTTTCTAATGTTTTTTATATTAGTGATTAATTTAAAATCAGATAAATAATATTGGGTATATTTTTAAATTTCTGATCTATTTGTATAATAATAGTATCAATCATAACATCAAAAAAGTAGCATCTTAATTCCTCTATGGATTTTGTAAAATTTCATCTTCTGTTAGTTCGGAAATCAATCTTTTATTTTGAATTATTTTTTAGAGAAGTCTTCTGAAATATTCAAATTTTGTGCTATCATTTTTGCGTCATCGAAAAATGTGTTAAATTTTGAACTTCAATTTTGGATTTTATTTTTATATCAAACTTAAAAAATTTATTGTGTTTACAATTTCTCATTATATGTTAAAAACATATAATTGAGATATTAAAATTAAAGACTTCTCTATAGAATGTCTTTCTTTTAATATCGACAATTAGTTTCTCTGTGTGCTCATGGATGGAGCTGATCCAGTGCTAATTAAACTTATGCCAATGGACATCTTTTAAATGAAATGTCACGAGAAACACTTTTCACGGACTCTGGAGTTAGTTAGGTGTGACCCCATCTAAAAAATAATGACAATAAAAGAAAATATACAATGTGTATTGTGGCTAGCTACACATAAAGGATGACAATTCCGGACTCCATGGAAAGTGTTTCTCGTGATATTTCATTTAAAAGCTGTCCACCGTTATAAATATTTTCGCTAAAAAACTTTCTGGGCTATTCTTTCTTTTAGCTCAAACCTCATTTCAATAGGTCGTTTCGTTTTTGTGTTATGAATTTATAAAATAACGAGCAATTATTTACTGTGACATCGTCACAATGCCGGACTGCAATTTTTAATCATATTTTTAATTAATTTAATTTAAAATATATGCGCTCCATCTCAAATTAGTAGTGGCTTGCCCTATACATCATACTTTTCCGTTAGCATGGAGTCGTGCCTGTCATCTATTAACTGCTTCCAGGGGAAAATTTTTGAATTGAAGTAATGTAATGTATAGTTAATCGGGTCCTACGAGCCCTATTGTTTTCATATCTGGTCTCGGTATTTGTCATCTGACTCCATTCTCGAAATTAAGGAATGACGGACGGACGGAGAACAGTGGGAATTTACAGGTCTACAATTTTTTCAAATTGCAGTCCAATAAACTTCTTTCTCATACACCCTATATAACTTAATACAGATATACTGTATTTTATATTTATATTATTATTTAATTAGGCTGTACTATAGATTATTATCTATGGAATTTCGGGGCTTTGAGTATATATTTGAACTCAGGGGACCGAGATGAGTTCAACGATACCCTACTTTTGGACCAGAGACGAAAAATAAGAGTTATCATATTTACAATTTCTTGCCTTTCACAGTGCTTTTTTTAATGGTTTGCAGACTTTACCGTAAGATGGCGGTACTACGGTAGCAACTATGGTGTCGTCTGCTTAATTTTCTTTTTTCTATTTAGGTTAGTTATTTAATTTAATTTAATTTAATTTATTTAACTAAGTTAGGTTATTTAAGTTAGTTAACTTATTTAAATAACTTAACCTAAGTTATTTATTAACTAGTTTGGTTTGCACACTTTAACCGCTAGGTGGTGTTGCTTCCAATTACAGTGTCCTCTGCTTAATTTTCTATTTTTTACGCAGCAATTTTGAAAATGAACTTCCTTTAGCTAGCATTAGAAGTAGTCAAAGATAAGGAAACATGTATCGAGTGGTTACAAGATCAAAATCTCTTTCGTAAAGCAAAAAAGTGTAATAGATGCAAAGAGTGGATGAAATTAGAAGTGTTCACCGAAGAGACAAATAAAGGCAAAGGATGGGGACGCCTGCGATGCCAGAAGCACGGACAGTAACAACAAATCACTGCTGGTACTTTCTTTGAGCAAGTCAGAATCTCACTAAGGAAAGCAATCATTCTAAGCAGTCATTTCTTGCCTTTCACAGTGTATTCCGCGTCATTTCAGATTTTTCTGCCACCTAGCGGTGACGGTCATCTCCCGGCGGGGGATAGGTTAGGTTTGTTGGACAAGCCGCGAAAGCGGCGCGTAGTACTAGCCGACCGGAAGCGATAGCGAACGTGTCGGCCGTGCGAAAAGGACTTAACTCTAACTGCAGACGATCAGTGTGCTCGTGGATCAACATCTGCCTCTGTTAAAGGTGGGCAAGCAAGAGTTCAGTGGGAGCCGAAATATAGGTTTTGCAAAAATGCATGGAAACCGCGGTTCTGTACTTTTTTATTCTGTACCTCAGTTCTGTACCGCGATTTTATTATATAATATAAATATAATATAAAACAAATATTGAATTTTTTTAATAAACATATTTTCACAAAATTGTGGAAATAAAGTTGTAAAAAAATAATAAAAAGCAGAAATTAACACTTTCAGCAAGAGCAAGTGCATGTAACTCAAAAAGAGCCGCATTTGCCCATGTCTGGTGTATACGGCCGACATGCCGGACAGCCTGTTAAACACGCGATAGGCTTACGGAGAGAGCGACGCGATTCCTGATCATCGCGCAATCGCCGGAAAAAAGTATGATAACTTCCTTATTTTTGTCTCCGGTCCAAAAGTAGGGTAACGTTGAACTCGTCTCGGTCCACTCATTTCAGATATATACTCAAAGTCCCGAAATTCCATGGGTAATAATCTATAGTATCCCCTTTAATTATGCATTAATTATATTATAATAATACAGTTTAGCATAATTCAAGCGTGCGAAACGTGTAAAGCATGAAAGCTTACGTCATTAGGTTTTGGCTTTATTTATTTTATTTACGAACAAAACCAATACTGGAGATCCCACAAGTATCAATTGAATTTGTTCAAACGTTGCTATCCAAAAACCTTTTATAAAATCATCTTCAGATTTTACGTCTGTACACCTGAAAATGGTTCATAAATTCACATAAAAGCAGTCGAAAACGATCGTTTTATTTAAAAAATAATAATTGCTAGCTAGATCAAAAAAGATTTTTGGATAGCAGCAACACGGGAGATTTAGAACTAATAAAATCAATAAACTGTTCACTCGATATTAATTTTAAAAATAATTTTAAACATAAGTGATTTAATGAGATTTAATCTAAAAATTAGAGAATTTTGTTTGTTAACTGAATTAGTAAGCTAAATTTGTAAAACAACATAAACAACCACAGCCTACAAATATATACTGTATTAATATTTAATATTACATTATTAGTGGACTAGATAACATCGAAACTGTTGTGAAAGAGTATCAAATAAATAAGCATTTATGTACTCTAACAATTTAATTATTCAATACTGTATAAACAAATACTCAAACCGAGTCAAAAACATTAATTAATTAGTCATTATGTTCTCTCTAGAGCTATATTTCTTGTAAGTTACATTTTTTATACTTTATAATTTCTTTTATAACATTTATACATCAATATAACACATCGCCAAATTATACAATGACATAAACAATTCTTAGAGAATGACTAAACAGTGAAAATAGTCTTTTCAATATATAATTCAGACAAATCACTTTTATACTTTATAAACATTGATAAATTATTTGTGAAGGTTTCAATAAGGAAATAGACGTATAAAGAATAAAATTTTTCAATAGAAGTTTTTATTGCGAGATTTTATTTGAGAGTCTGTGTAATAAGGATGTTATTTAAACATCCTCATTTATTATTTTAACAACGCAACAACAACAATAATAATAACGAAAGATTCAATTTAGTATCGGTCTTCAAAATACAATCCTCCCTGATTTATACAAATTTTTGTTCGCTCTGATAATTTACGTTTGTCCTCATAAAAGGATCTTTATGAAT